AGACGGGACTCAGAGAAATATAAAGTCTATTGTTGTAGCATGTTAGCTTGAGTTGAGCAGTTCAGGCTGAGGCTCACCAACTTTCACTTCCCAAAACATGTAACTTGCAGCAGCTCGAGTCCTGACTAGAACCAGGAAGTATGACCACATTAGTCCAGTCCTCAGGTCTCTGCACTGGCTTCCTGTGGCTCAGAAAATAGACTTTAAAACAGCTCTGCTTGTGTACAAATCTCTCCATGGCCTCGCACCAAAATATATTAGTGACATGTTAGTCCCATATGAACCAGCCCGGACTCTGAGGAGCACAGGGACTGGACTCCTGCTGGGACTCTGAGGAGCACAGGGACTGGACTCCTGTTAGTGCCCAGAGTCAGAACTAAACATGGGGAGGCTGCTTTTCAGATTCATGCTGCTAAAATCTGGAATAAAATTCCTGAAAATGTGAGACAGGCCTCTTCTCTGACAATGTTTAAAACAGTTCTGTTTAGCTGTGCATACAACTGAGGGATTTTATATTTTTATCATTCATTTTAATGCACTATGATTATTTATTATTTTATGCTATCTTATTTTGTTCAGCACTTTGGGTTGCCTTGTGTATGAATTGTGCCATACAAATAAACGTGCCTTGCCTTGTCTTAACTCAGTAATAAAATCCGAAATGACTAGTTCCTATCTCTCAAAAGGGTTTGCTTAAATCACTAAGAGCATGTATGGTTGGCCTCTGTCACATATGTGTTTATAGATATGAAGAAGAGAGTGTGCTGTGGTCTGATTTCTTCACACTTGATTTTCTGCCGAGACAAATTACATTGAATAGTTATGAAGACAAAGCTAGGTACCTCAGCTTTAATATTAGCTAGAGTAGCACATCTATAATTCCCAGAAGCTTCTTAAAGAGGCAGTCGATGATTTATCCAGACGCAACTGTTTAAATACTGTAGGGAAGCGACCCTAAACCCCAAAATTAGTCAAGTATTCATGTGTTTTCAAAGAGGAATGGACATGATCAGATGGCTGTAAACAAAAAAATCATGAATATTTTGGAGCGGGTTGATAGATCGTCAGTGCACCTGTCTAAGTTGTTATTGATTCGGATTTTCTAAAACACCTACAACTGAACTGATAACTCCCAAAGTGCTAAATTTACGTTTGCCACACGTCCTGTTGTGGCAAAGAAGAAAAAATCGTGTGAGGAAAAAGGGCGCCATATTAGAAGACACAGGACGTAGCCAGGGCTTTGTTAGGGGAAGCTAGTGTTTGTCTAGTATGGCAGGCTAATCACTCTCAGACTTATTTAGTGTAATGGTTCGTCATAGACTGTGTTATTACAGAAACGGCGTTCATGCGTGCTGGGGGTTGGGTTTTGGTGGAGGGCAGGGGGAGTGGTTCTGACTCGGTGCTACTTAGATGCTACTCTGATGCTAAGCTAACACGAGTCCTTTACTGCACCTTTAATGTTTGGAGTTGTTCTCTCAAACCACTCTCACCTTCAGTTTTCCGCACCGAGATGTACTGTCTCTGTAAATATCATTGTGGTGATCTCTCAATAATAAATTACCTTCAGTTGTGCCTCAGACTTTCTTTGTCCTCTTCAAATATCATTGTATACAACAAAAGTTATATTGCTCCTGTTTGCTGTGATGTGGTTCTCGTTCATGACTCCCAATTGGATTGGATTGGAAGCTTATGTTTTAGAATTAGATAACGTTTCTGAAACCATGTCTAAACTGTTGGAGTATGACTGAAGTACTCGCTAAAAGGGATGGTTTCTCTTCCACCGTGAGCAAAAAACCATGAATTGTTAGCACCCTCTGGTAAACTTACTCCTACCACTACTACACTTAAAGAGTGACTAAACACCTTTTCACAGCCTTACTCCGCCCACATGAACCTTTGAAATTTTTCTTTTAAAAGGGCGTTGCCTGGAGGACCAAGGGACAAGAAGGGGGGCTTAGAGTTGGGCGTGGTCTGGGCTGTGATTGACAGCTCACTTGTCTCATTAAAAAAAACAGACATTTGTCATTGCTGCTTAAAGCAATAGTTTACAGACCAGAAAGTCTCATTCCACTCTTGTTTACATACTTAGATAATTGTAAAGCTACACACCTGAACCTAATCACACTCAATAATCTCAGAATGACTCATGTAATTTAATTTTAATCAACTAGATGGCGCCAGAATACTCCAAACTGCAGCTGGGGCGTGTGTGAGAGTTGAATGGGTTCACATCACTGGCTCTGACAGACTGACGTCACACAAAACAACTGATGTCATAGAGAACTTCAGAGTCAATGGAGAGGCCAGAATAAACTAAAATGTCAAAAAAATGACCAGGATATGTAGAGAGCACTACAATAAACATACTTATGCAGTTTATGAGTTTAAAAAAGTTGATTTGGTGTTTAGTCGCTCTTTAAAGGTAAGTTCTTTATGCATCATGTTTTACTCCAATGTGTTGCCATGATGTATGTGCTACCAGTCCTTCTGAGTGCAAACAATCCCAGAATCCATTAGGGTTTGAAATACACTTGTCTCTCTGAATAGACCCATAGGATCCAATGGCATGATGCCTCGGAGATTCAAATGCTTTGGCTGATTTTCAGACCAATCTTCAACAACAAACTGGGTTGATATCTGTCTTTCATACTAAGAAAATTCTTTTTTTAGAATGAAAAGAGATAAATACGGAAACTATGAGATTTTGACTACAATAAATAAGTAACAAGATATTAAATAAGTCACTGCGGTTGAATTATCAATATGACATCTTGTGACAGTGAATGAAATACACAAACAATAACTATGCCTTATATGTAATTACTAATACATAACTTATATGCAGAAAGTAATTTATTAATGATAAGATTATACAGACTACTAAAATCTTCTTATACTTCTCGTACTGTCGAACATGCTCCTTTCAACTACAATTATATCAATCATTATCATATTTTTCTCACTTTTTGCTCTAATGAAATCCTCCATTACAACTGTAATAGTTCGATAGAAACATGTATAGGTGATTCTGCAGAGAACAATGATATTTAAGGGAGCCCAGAGCCTGCTGGGTGAGGAGAAAACCCATCCTCTTCGTCTATAATAGAGCCTATTAAACTTGGACCTATACTTAATTATTCATAAGGCCTGTGAAGACCCATAGGCTACTCCATCACTCAGCCCACCCATAGTAGATTAGCCTGTTCAATTTAAATACATCCGAGTGTGGCCTGGCCTTTCATCAGTCACGAGTCACCCTATGCCTTTATTTGATTACAGGCCTCACTGCTAACCTCTGCAACGCAAGAGACTTCACTTTTACATTATAGATCGCTGCGCTTCTGTGTGAAATGCAAACCACTGGTATTGTTTTATGACGTTTTATTGTATTCTGACCTTATAAAAAAGTTAAAACAGTGGAAAAAAACCAAAACAAACTATGTGTACATTGATATTGTTAATGTTGTAGACTAGAGTTGATACAATACTTTGACATTTTCAACAGCACATTCATTGATTAAAAATATGATATTGTTATAATTCAATCATTATGAGTCAAGTGGGCGTTTATTTATTTCCAGGTCAATGTACATCTCACATTAATTATCAGACATCACTGCGTAGAAGAAGTTAATCCTTTATTGGTCCCGCAGTGGGGAAATATAGAGACATCCAGGCATGCAGCGTACAAGTACTTCTGCGCTTACGTATGGGCAAAGTTGGGTAAAGTGTCTTGCCAAAGGACACAACGACAGCAGACATGAGTGGCAGACGGTGGAGAAGGTCCTGTGGTAGAACTTTCACTCAAACCATCCAATTACAATTAATTATTAAAATACTGCACATCATTCAGACTTGCAAAGGAGTGAGAGGAAGAATTTTTAAAAAAATAAAATCCCAGCCAATCACCACGCAGCACAGTGACCCCAGCCAATCACCACATAGCACAATGACCCTAGATAATCGCCACGCAGCACAGAGACCCCAGCCAATCCTGATGCAGCACAGTGATCCCGGCCAATCACCACACAGCACAGTGACCTCAGCCAATCCCCACGCAGCACAGTGACCCCAGCCAATCCCCACGCAGCACAGAGACCCCAGCCAATCCCCACGAAGCACAGTGACCCCAGCCAATCACCACGCAGAACAGTGACCCCAGCCAATCCCCATGCAGCACAGTGACCCCAGCCTCCAGAACAGCAACAAACCAGCAACGCACCAAAGCACCACCATTTTTTTGTTAGTTTGTCCTATTTTTTTATTATTTTGTTTGTACCTGACAGAGAATATTTTAGGACTACACAAAATAGAGTTGGTGTTTATATTCAAGCTATTTAATTAATGAATGAATGAAATATTTATTTCAAAACCTGCACACATAATTTTACAGGAAACAAGAAAACAAAAATACGTACAGGGATTGAAAAGGATATTATATTAATCCAAACCCCCCTCACCCAGACGCAGGACAAACAAGAAGACAGAAACAATACAATAATTACAGTACATACAGTAACAACAATACAGTAACTACCACACACACACAGGCCCAAACATTCCCCGACCATACACCTCTCTCCTCCAACTGCTCAGTGCTGTCATGTCTGGTTAAGTTATATTCTGTGATGTAAAGCTGTTTTATTTTGAAATTTGTTTCTCGTTAGACTTCCTTCCTGCTCTTCCCTGTTTCCCCGCCTATGTGATTACCTGCCTCGCCCCTAATGTGTGACACCTGTGTCCTTGCCCTCACCTCTGTGTATATAAGCCTGTATCTTCCCCATTGTCTCTGTCAGATTGTCTTTGTCCATGTGCAGGTAATCATATCAGTTTGTTCTTGTATGTTTTTCAGTTTTGACTGACTTTTTTGTTCTTTGTCCATGTGCAGACTCTGTGGGAATTTTATGTTAACGATCCTGATTTCTGACCACGAAAATAAAAGAAACTGAGCAACGCAGTTGGGTCTCCTGTGCTGAGTCTGATAGCACAATCTGACCAACATGAACCCAGCGGGCTCAGACTCCACTCCTGTTACCCAGGATCCAGTTCGATCTGCCATCCAAGCCCAAGGTCACAGAATCCACAAACAGGAGGAACTACTTGGACAACTACGTGGCGACTTACAGAGGATGGCGGACCAACAGGAGTCCATGATAGCTGCCTTCACAAGCCAACTTAACATGTTGGCAGAACGGTTAAGTCCCAGCCAAGCCAACCCAGACTCAGCCTCAGTAAGCGCAGCTTCATCTGCTCCACTGGTACCACCTGTGAGTAACGCCCATCCTCCTACCATGCCTTTAGCTCAGATACAGTTGTCTCGCCCAGAGAGATTCTCTGGGGACTGTCGCGCCTTCATTACTCAGTGTGAACTCCATTTTGAGATGCAGCCAGCAGTTTTTCAAACCGATAGAGCTAGGATAGCCTACATTATCTCCCATTTGACTGGCAGAGCTGAGGCTTGGGCTACTGCTGAGTGGAGTCGACGTTCTCCAGTCTGTGATTCACTTCAGGGGTTTATTAGAACCTTGACACAGATTTTTCACCATGTTACTCCGGGTGGAGAGGCTGCTTGTTCTCTTGTTCAGCTGCGACAGAGAGGTCAGAGAGTAACTGATTATGCTATACAGTTCCGGACTCTAGCGGCCGAGAGTGGATGGAATCCAACTGCACTGTTCGATGCATTTCTGAATGGACTTAATGACCATGTGAAAGATCAGCTGGCCCCCCTTGACCTACCTGAGACTCTGGATGAGCTCATAGCACTGGCTATCAAGATTGACAGGCGGCTAATAGAGCGGGAGCACGAGAAGTGTCGTAGGATTCCTCAACAGTATAGGGGGCCGTGTTTCTCACCAGCCCAGGGAGCAGCTAACTCTGAAACCCCTGCCCCGTATCCTAGAGAGGACGAGCCAATGCAGCTAGGACGCACTCGTTTGACACCCGAAGAACGAGAGAAGCGTATGAGGGAGGGGCGCTGCTACTACTGTGGGGGATTTGGTCATTTCTCAGCCACATGCTCGGCAAAAGCTCGGGCTCGCCAGTGAAGAGGGGGGCACTGGGGAGCCATATCAGTCCTGTGAACCCCTCTCGTCCCACACCTCTCGTTACACTCACCTCTCCTTCTAGTTCCTGTAGTATGCCCGTATTGATTGATTCTGGATCTGATGCTAACCTGATGGACCATGCTCTGGCTAGAGAACTTAATTTGGCGGCCATTCCCTTGGAACATTCTCTTGTCGCCAGTGCCCTAGATGGTCGTCTCTTAAGTAAAGTGACCCACTATACAGAGCCGGTAAGGATTACATTTCCCGATCAGCACACTGAAAGTTTAGGGTTTTTTCTGTTCAAATCTGGTCAGCACAGACTGGTTTTGGGATACCCATGGCTTGAGTTGCACAATCCGGTCATCAACTGGTCACAGGGGAGGGTCTCTTCCTGGGGGGTGGAGTGCTCCAAGAAGTGTTTTGACTTACCTGAGGCCGTTCTCTCTGCAGCCAAGACTGGTCCGGAATCTGATTTTCCTGATATCTCCCATGTTCCACCTTGTTATATGGATCTGAAGGAGGTTTTTAACAAGGCTAGGGCCACCTCCTTGCCCCCGCACCGGTCCTATGATTGCGCCATTGACATTTTGCCTGGTTCCACTCTGCCTAAGGGTCGGCTGTACTCTTTATCGGGACCTGAGACCCGGACCATGGAGGATTATATCGAGAAGTCACTCGCTGCTGGTATAATCCGTCGATCTTCCTCTCCAGCTGGGGCAGGTTTCTTTTTTGTTGGAAAGAAGGACAAGACTGCTCTAAAATTATTGGTGTTAAACAAAGAGACCTACAGTCTCTTTGGGAGGAGCAGGCGCTAAAGAAAGCTAAATGTATCTTGGGTCAGCCTCTCCATGCTCTGTCCTGAGTTTTCGCTCATGCCTTCTGGACGTCGTTTTTATGTACCCTCTCGGAAAACAAATCGTTTCGCCAACTCTTTTGTCCCCTCTGTCACTAAACTGTTGAATTCTGAAGGGAGTGTGTTTATTAAGTGACACCGACCTTTGTGAAATGTGTCGTTTTCTTTTAATTATTTGCTATTGTCTGTACTGTTGGAAGTGAAACACAGGGAGTGTTGTGATGTGTTTGTACAACATCTGTCGGAGGTTGCAGCAAATCAATTGCCCTTAAGGGATCAATAAAGTTTTCTGAATCTGAATCTGAAGACGCTGAGGCCCTGTATTGACTACCGTGGACTTAATGCGATCACCCTGAAGAACAGGTACCCTCTTCCGTTAATTTCTACTGCCTTTGAACTGTTGAGAGACGCTACGATTTTCACAAGGCTCGATCTTCGTAATGCATACCATCTCGTCAGAATAAGGGAAGGGGATGAGTGGAAAACGGCCTTTAACACCCCCACAGGACATTATGAGTATCTAGTGATGCCTTTTGGGTTAACTAATGCGCCAGCTGTTTTTCAATCTCTGGTGAACGATGTCCTTCACGATATGTTGAATATTTTTGTTTTCGTGTATCTGGATGATATTCTAATCTTTTCCCCTGATGAGAACACCCATGTCCAGCACGTCAGGAGAGTGTTGCGAAGACTTCTGGAAAACCAGCTTTTCGTCAAAGCTGAGAAATGTGAATTCCATGTGCGAACGGTATCATTTCTGGGCTACATCGTTGCAGAGGGCGAGCTCAAGATGGACCCGGTGAAGATCCAGGCTGTCGCTGAGTGGCCCATACCCGAGTCCCGCAAGCAGGTACAACACTTCCTTGGTTTTGCAAATTTCTATAGGAAATTCATTAGAGACTTCAGTACTGTTGCTGCCCCTCTGCATGCCCTCACTTCTGTCAAGACCAGGTTTCAGTGGACACCCCAGGCTGATCACGCCTTCAAGCGGTTGCGGAGGCTCTTTACCACGGCCCCTGTCCTTGTACAACCCGATCTCCAGCTTCAGTTTGTGGTAGAGGTGGATGCGTCTGAGGTCGGCGTAGGGGCTGTTTTGTCCCAGAGGTCAAGGAAGGATGGTCGGCTCCACCCTTGCGCTTTCCTGTCCAAGAAGTTAACGGCCGCTGAAAGGAATTATGATGTCGGGAATCGTGAGCTGCTGGCTATTAAGGTTGCTCTCGAGGAGTGGCGGCATTGGTTAGGAGGGGCAGAGCTGCCATTCCTGGTGTGGACGGACCACAAGAACTTGGAGTATCTGAGGGCCGCCAAGAGACTGAACTCCCGTCAAGCCAGGTGGGCCTTGTTTTTTAGTAGATTCAATTTTTCTGTGTCTTACCGCCCAGGCTCAAAGAATTTGAAACCCGATTCCCTGTCCCGGCTCTCTGACCCTGAGATGGCTCCTAAGGTTCCAACCTCCATTCTGCCTCCCTCATGCTTGATTGGCGCTGTCATCTGGGAGGTCGAGGAGGAGGTCAAGAGGTCCCAGTCTACGGTGCAAGTTCCTGCTGGATGCCCCCCAAATCGACTGTTTGTACCTACTCCCCTACGTTCCCGTGTTATCCATTGGAGCCACAGTTCTATGTTCTGTCATCCGGGGGTCAGGAGGACTTTGTTTGTGGTCAAGCAGCGCTTTTGGTGGCCAGCTATGAAGAAGGACGTTAGGGATTACGTGGCGGGATGCTCTATTTGTTCCCAAAACAAGACCCCACGTCATGCGCCTACTGGTCAGCTCCATCCACTCCCAGTGCCTCACAGACCATGGTCGGACATCTCTCTAGATTTCGTCACTGGCTTACCACTCTCTGGAGGTAACAGTGTGATTCTTACTGTGGTTGATCGTTTCTCCAAGATGGTTCACTTTGTTCCCCTGGCCAAGCTTCCTTCAGCTAAAGAGACTGCTGAGATAGTGTTGGCACAGGTTTTTCGTCTTCATGGTCTTCCCAGGGATGTAGTGTCGGACCGGGGCCCGCAGTTTGTCTCCGCCTTCTGGAAGGAGTTTTGCACCTTGCTGGGAGCAACGGCGAGCTTGTCGTCTGGTTACCATCCGCAGTCCAATGGACAGTCTGAGCGCCTAAACCAGGAGCTGGAGTGTGGCCTGCGATGTATTGCCTCCCAGAATCCGACTTCATGGAACAGACAACTGGTATGGATCGAATACGCCCATAACACCCTACCTTCTTCGTCTACAGGTCTCACCCCCTTCGAGTGCGTTTATGGATATCAGCCGCCATTGTTTCCTGCTCTAGCGAAGGAGGTTACTGTCCCCTCAGCCATGGCCTTGGTGAGACGTTGTCGTCTGAGTTGGTTGCGGGCTCGTCAAATGCTTCTCCGCTGTTCTGAGTCCTACAAGAAGGCTGCTGACCGTCGCCGCAGTTCCGCTCCTGCTTACCAGGTTGGACAGAGAGTCTGGCTCTACTCGGGACATCCCACTGAAGGCGGAATCGCGCAAGATGGCTCCGAAGTTTATGGGTCCCTTTCCCATCTCACGGGTCGTGAATCCAGTGGCTGTACGTTTGAAGCTTCCTAAATCTCTGAGAGTTCACCCGACGTTCCATGTGAGTCGTGTCAAGCCGTATGTGGAAAGTACCCTCGTACCGAAGGTCAAGCCCCCACCCCCCCCCCCAGCTGATTGAGGGTGGCACAGCATATACTGTCAGGAAGCTGCTGGCTGTGAGGCAGCGGGGACGGGGACGACAGTATCTCGTTGACTGGGAGGGGTATGGCCCTGAGGAGCGGTGTTGGGTTTCTGCTAAGAACATTCTTGACCCTGACCTTATACGGGATTTCCACATAAACAACTCTGCCCAGCCTGGGCCGTCTGGAGTCGGCCCTAGGAGGGGGGGTACTGTCATGTCTGGTTAAGTTATATTCTGTGATGTAAAGCTGTTTTATTTTGAAATTTGTTTCTCGTTAGACTTCCTTCCTGCTCTTCCCTGTTTCCCCGCCTATGTGATTACCTGCCTCGCCCCTAATGTGTGACACCTGTGTCCTTGCCCTCACCTCTGTGTATATAAGCCTGTATCTTCCCCATTGTCTCTGTTAGATTGTCTTTGTCCATGTGCAGGTAATCATATCAGTTTGTTCTTGTATGTTTTTCAGTTTTGACTGACTTTTTTGTTCTTTGTCCATGTGCAGACTCTGTGGGAATTTGATGTTAACGATCCTGATTTCTGACCACGAAAATAAAAGAAACTGAGCAACGCAGTTGGGTCTCCTGTGCTGAGTCTAAGTGCTGAGGGCATCACTCTCTTTCCTCCTTGTACTTCTTCACTATTTCTTTTTTATACACTCTTTTAAATTGAATCAGGTTTGAACACGTTTTAATTTAATCAGATACACCGTTCCACAGAGTACACACGGAGATACACATTGATTTTAAAGTAGGGTTAGTATAGTTTGTTGTTTCCTCTTAGTTGATACTGATGTTTGATACTTAGTTGATTTACATATATACATCATTTTTAGTCGTGACAGTATAGTGGGAGAACATAGAGACACCTGTATAAAAGCCCTACCACATCACCAGCCTGACACCACACCAGTGCCCTCTGCATCCCGGACCAGCCAGAGCCACCACACCCCGGTCACCAGCTGTCATCACACACCTCCACACCCCCAAACCCCCACGCCACCCGCTCCTTCACAGCAACATATTAAAATTAGTATCAGATAAAGAACCGTTTTATGAATGTTTTTTGTTTTGTTTTTTCATTCAGGAAGATAAAACCTAATCCTAAAGTGGCGTCAACATTAGAAAAGCAAACATGATTATGCACTGAAAGTGCATTTTGAATCCATGAAAATGATTTTACTGAAATAATAAATGGATTTTAAAGGTTCACAGAGGTGTAGACTGACAGGGGCCTGACAGGGGCTGACCATTAGTCACTTAGTTACAGGTCAGTGGAAATTAATAATGACAAATGGTAAAAAATCTATTCAACTTGAACATAATGGCCAAGTCAGAACCATTCATTTGACTCATAATTAAGTTTCTCTGACGCTGCTATCATTTTTACTCTGGAATTAATATTCTGTACTGCTCTCAACGTTTTACAATGTGGCCTTTTCTGCACAAAATAGTACTGTCAGTCACATGGGAAACTCA